GTAAGTAAAATCATCATTGTTTGATTGAAATTTTATATTTTACTTGACTAAACAAGTAAATACGATAATATAATATTTCTTTAAAAAAATTATTAAATGTTCTATTTTAATTAACCATTTATTGATATGAGTCTTTTTTTTTTGATCAGTATGTGCACGCTGATGATAGATATTTACTCAATATAATTTGATTAAAATTAATGTGAGGAAAAATAAGAATTTATTTTACTAATTAAATAGAAATAAAGATTAATTTTGATCAGATTCTAATAATTTTGCAAAATCATCATCATTTGATGAAAATTTAAATTATTTATGTATTTGACTTGGTTAAATAACAAATTAATTATCTTTATATCAATCAAATTTTCAAAAAAATGATAAATAAAATGTTAACTAATTTTAAACTAGTTATATTTTAGTAAGACATTTTTTTATCAGCATTTACATACATACATATTTATAATACATCTAAATTTAATAAAAATATATTAAATTTTGTAAAATTATCATCATTTGATTTGTATTTAATATTTTTACTTATTTATTTAAATCTATAAATAATGTTAATATAAATTCGTCTAACAAAAAAATTTTTTAAAAGCTTTATCTTACTTAAACTAATTATTTATTAATTAGAATTTTTTTTTTTTTGATCAGTATGTGCACGCTAATGATAATTATTTACTGATTATAATTTGATTAAAATTAAGGTGAGGAAAATAGGAATTTTACTAATTAAATAGAAATATAGATTAGTTTTGATCAGATTCTAATAAATTTTGCAAAATCATCATCATTTGATTAATATTTAAATTATTTTTGTATTTTACTTGATTAAATAACAAATTAATTATCTTTATATCAATCAACTTTTCAAAAAAATGATAAATAAAATGTTAATTAAATAATTAGAAATTTTTTTTTGCATTTACATACATATTTTTAATACATCTAAATTTGATAAAAACATATTAAATTTTGTAAAATTATCATTATTTGATTTAAATTTAATATTTTTACATTTTTATTTGATTCAAGAACAAATAATGTTAATATCAATATGTCTAACAAAAAGATTTAGCTTTATCTTACACTAATAAAAAATTGATAAGAATTTTTTTTTTTGATCAGATGTGCTAATAATGATGATAGTTATTTACTAATTTTAATTTGATTAAAATTTATCATTGATCAGATTCTAATAAATTTTGTAAAAATCATCATCATCATGATTGATTGATTGATTAATATTTAAATGATTAATGTATTTTACTTATTAATAACAAATTATCTTTGTATCAACTTTTCTATAAAAATGATAAATAAAATCTTAATTTTAAACTAATTATATGTTAAGAAGATATTTTTTATCAGCATTTAAGGATTTATTAAAAAGCAATTCCAGGTATGTATTAAATTCTTATGGTATTGGAGAATTATAAATTAATTCTTGGATTTGCTTTATAATTTAATTAATATAGTCAATTTATAATACCGTAGTTTCTCATATATTAAGGACATATTCAGATAAAAACTTTTGATCAAATTTAGTCCTTAATTCAAAATTTATTGAAAAAAGTCCTTAATATATGG